AACACACACACACACACACACACACACACACACACACACACACACACACACACACACACACACACACACACACACACACACACACACACACACACACACACACACACAAACACACACCACACACACACACACACACACAAACACACACCACACACACACACACACACTCACACATACACACATACATATGACATACACACACACACACTGTAGATAAAAAAAACAAATATTCTGTTGCGATTATTAGTCGTTGCAATCCAAGATAAATAATAATAAAACCCTAAATTTTAAGGATTGAATACGAGAAATCTGTTGAATAAATTTTAACAATTAGTGAATAATATTATTTTTTTATTATTATTTTATTTATTTTTATATTTTAAAAAATAATTCAAAATGGAAGTAGAACCTGCTAGAGAATGGGATAGTTCATCATTTAACCATCAAAAAAATAAAAATGGCGAATCCTTAGCAGACGATGACAATTCCGCTCTTGCTGCTTCAAGGAGTTCGGCTTATAATAATAATGATGATGACTTCTTGGACTACGACGACGGAATTAGTAATCAGAAAAAAAATGGTTTCCCAAAAAATAGCGCCTGCTTCATTTTAGGAGTTACATCGGCCAGTGGTGATGCTGATGATAATGATGGTATTAGTAACTTAACTTACGAAAATGGAAGTAATTTTCCTGGCAGTGGTGATGATGTTATTGGTGATTGGCCTACGAGTTTAAATAACATTTTAATGGATCAGTGTTTCAATATAATCAACAATAACAACAATAATAATGATAATAATAGTAATAATAATAATGATAATGATTCTGGGAATGAAAAGATTATGAATAGAAAAGTTAACATGTCAGGAGAACTGATGCAAGTGCATAAGTCAGTCGAGAATAATAAGTTGGTAAAGATGAGAATGAAGGGATGATGGTGATATAATAATGAATGTTTAATGATGATGATTAGTGATGATGTTTAATGATGTTAACTTTAGTGAAAATAAATCTTAATTTTATGATAAATAAAATGATTATGATAATGAATTCAAAAAAGTTATGGTGATCATATAAAGCGATAGCAAAGAAATAAAATAACAATAACAATGATGTTATAAGTTTTTTATAGCAACTTCAATAAAAATGTTAAAAAAAGATTTACAATGATGAAAATGATACATACAAAAATAATTTTTCACTATTTTCTCTCTCTCTTTTTCTTCTCCATCTCTCTCTCTCTCAAACAGATGCAAATTTAAAAAAAATTGTTTTTCAGAATCTGGCAAACACTGGCCGACAAGTTTGGCATGACGATGCCTGTTAACTGGTCGAAAACCATCATGAAAAAGTACCTAATTTCTGCTCTGGCTGTCAAAGAAATTAGGGATGAGGTAATGATGATGATGATGATTATGATGATGATGAAAATGAGAAAAAGATGATAGCGAAGATGATTATGATGATGAGAAAATTATGGAAGATGTGATGATTAGAATGATTAGAATTATGAAATTATAATAGTTTGTTGCTGCTGATGATGATGATGAGGATGATGATGTAAGCATATTATATTGTGATTATTTAATGACAATGTTGGCAATTAGGAAAGCTAACCAAACCAGATAATACTAATAATAAAAACGATGATGATGATAAAGACGATGATGGTAATGATGGTGGTAATAATGACGAAAGTGATGATAATGATTTTACTAACAATTTTTAAATCTATTCGTTTCAATCCTAAAAACTGAAACAAAAACCCATTTCATTTTTTTTTTTTGTAGCAGGAAAGAAGTCCAACAACAACATTGACAACATCAACGAATGATAATAATATTACTAATTCTGCTACTGCTACTACTACTACTACTACTACTACTACTACTACTACTACTACTACTACTACTACTATTACTACTACTATTACTACTACTGCTGATGACGTTAATACACCCACAACTGCTGCTGCTACCACCAATAATAATCTTAATATCAATCTTGATGGCAATGATGAAGAAGATGATGAGGTTATGATTATGATGATGATTGTGATATCAGTAATGATGATGATCGTCGATGATTTTGTGGGTGACGATTATGATGACTATAGGGATGATGAAAAAAATTTTTTGCCACCAAAGTTTGAATATGTAATCCTGCGAGTATTTTCCACTCTGAGTTCAAGAGCAAAGTTAGTTTTTTCTATCACATCAGGTTTGTGAGTAAGAAGAAGCCACTGAATTTCTCAACATTTTGCATGTCGAAATGAAACATCTGTACTGCCTGTTTAAAGAGTGGAAATGAAAACTATTTGGCACTCTTCCCTTTCTGTCACAATTTACTGCGGGATCAAGTTGTCTCAAGGTGTCCATCAACAACCTGCAAGCATGTCTCGAACCCTCTGTTATCGATAGCCTTTTCATTGTTGAACTTTCCTAATGAAATCTCTCCTCGCCTCCAAGATTTGTTAGGAAGCATTCCAGATGGTGATGAGAATGCCAAGCAGGAAGTTTCAGTGGCACATTGGTACTACAAGTTCGTTGCAAGATCATCTGTTAGGACAGTTATTGGCTGTGGAAACTGATATCTTCAATCAGTCCTCATTCTTTCATTTTAGCTTCACTGATTTATTTTGAATATGAACAAATCCCGACCTGACCCATATGACCTTGATCAAGTTTTTCACTGGAGCAAGTTTTGTGTGAAGCAGAGGTATATCAACTTTCTTTGCACTGATCAATCAATGGTTTATTGGGATTATTTATTCCTCCACCATCACTTCCCCCAGCAAGCCTATTCAAACTTATAATGCTTGTTGCGGGCAACGACGACTTCACTTTCTTCATCACTGCACCGACTCTCCTCCCTCGTCTTTGAAACTCCTCAGAGGCCTCCAATGGATAAATCACCAGTCAGGACCCTCTCCATATTAACTGCAGTGAACAACAATCAAAGGCACTCCTGTTTGAAAATAAATTTGTTAACTTGAATGAAGGATGGCTGATTGTTTTCAAATCTGCTATAATGGCAGTGGTATGTTTCCTGGCTCATCTGATGATTTAGCTAGGAGGTTAATAAAATTTCTTATTGTATTGTATTGGATTGTATCTTATTGCATCGTGTGATTGTTCTCCAGCAACTACCCATTTTAAATAATTTTAAATCATTTCATTGTGCATTTGATCTGAGAGTTGGCTGGAGGAGAATAATTTGCTGAGCACCTTCTCTTACAATTCATTAGAACAACATGCAGACTAGCCTGTAGGGATTTGAAGCAGATGTTGGAAGCAGATGAGTGCAACTTCATCTGCAAGGAAGATGAATTAATTTCTTTTTAATTCATCTTAAAAACAAGATAGATCCTTCATCAATTATGAACAACAACTATGATTAACAAGTTCTTAAAAAAAAATTATTTCATGAAAACTGGCAAATCCAATTATGATGATGACCTTGATGACGATGCTGATAATGATTGTGATAATTGTGATGATGATTGTGATGATGATGATTGTGATGATGATGATGATTGTAATGATGATGATTTGTGGCGTGAATGATGATAATGATAGAAATAAAATTGAAAATAAAAATATAGTTTATGATAAATGAAATAATAATAAAAAACAACAATAACAATAATAATAATTTGATAGTATTAACCTTAATTAAAACAATAGTCCTAAAATAATAATGATAATAATGAGAATCATGCTCCCAACAACCAATCAGGTGAAGAGGGCGTTCGACATGCACACACTCACATTGTCCTCACATCACCATCATCATCATGACAATGAGGGTGCTTGTTCTCATGGTAACCATGATGTTGATGATGATGACGATAGAATGATGTTCACAGCCGATCAAGTTATCAGCGAGATTGAACAGATGATGGAAGAGGATGACGATGATGATGATGCTAGTAGCGGTGGTGGTATTTGTGACGGATGATGATGATGATGATGATGACGATGATGATAGGATGATGACGATGATAAGGTTAGTGTTGCTGATGGTGATGAAGACGTTAATAATGAGGATGATGATGATGATGATTGTTAATATTGGTGCCAACGTTGCTCTCCATCTTTCATCACCACATGGATCATCATCATCACCATCATCATCATCATCATCATCATCACAATTGAAGTCATTATTGTCATCACAGTCATAGGCATCACCGTCTCTAACACCATCATCATCACTATCATCATCACTATCATCATCACCACTATCATTACCATCATCGCCACCATTATCATCATCATCAGAACTTCACTCCTTGCTCGTCTATGGAAAACAGTTTCAACAACAACATCATTACCTCCACCACCACCGCTGCTAATGATGACGTCATCATCACCAATAACACTAATGACGTCACATCTGGTGCCAAAAAGTCGAATCCTTCAGCACCATTCAACTTGAAGCCGATCAAGCCAATGAAGAATGAGTTGGCATACGGGCAGAAGTTTGGGGAGGGAGTGCCCTTGAGGAAGCCTTCTATTGGAAGTTAGTGTTGGGATTGAAGATGATGATTGTGCTGATAAACAACAGACAGACAAACACACACACACACACATACACAAACAAACACACACACATACACAAACACACACACACAGACCTTACGGAAATGTCAGTTCTTCAGTTGTGTGAACTGTACGACGACTTGGAGGCACTCTGCAGAGAATACTCCGAGGCTCTGGTTTCCGAGTTAGCCCTGCGAGATGAGCTCGAGTATGATAAGGAGCTGAGGAACCAGTTCATCACGTTGTTCCTCTCCATCCAGAGGAAAAAAAGAGCTCACTCTGGTTGGTTTGTTGGTTGGTTGGTTGGTTGGCTGGCTGGTTGGTTGGCTGGTTTGTGGCTGATTGATTATTTGGTCGATTGCTTGATTGTTTTTAACCAGAATCAATTACATTTTCCGTCGTTATCAATGTCATCATTGATGTCATCACCACCACCATCATCATCATCACCACCACCATCATCATCATCACCACCATCATCATCATCACCACCACCATCATCATCATCACCACCACCATCATCATCATCACCACCACCATCATCACCACCGTTGTCATCATCATCATCATCATCATCATCATCATCATGTCAACAGCTAGGAAGAAGCAGAACAGGAAAGGTGGAAGTGGTACACAAGAACTATCAACTGCTGAGAAAGTGGTGAGGCGATGATGATGATGATGATTGTGATGATGATGATAGTGATGAAGGAGATGATGATGGCAACGAAGATGAGGATAGTTATGTAGATTAACATCATTAATTAATTTATTCACAACTACCATAAACATCATCATCATTTAATTTTAATAATAATCATCATCGCATCATTACATTTTTTATCATCATCATCGTCACCATAATAATCATCACCACCACCACCACCACCGCAATCATCATCAGTACCTGACGACCACGATACCCTACAACAACACACACTCACCACCATCGTCTGAGCTTCTGGCTACTTACGTTAAAAGTTTGTGATGATTATGATGATGATGGTTATGATAGTGATGATTGTGATAGTGATGGTGATGGTGATGATTTTGATAGTGATGGTGATTGTGATGATGAGGACGACAATAAAAATAATTTTCTGAACGGTGATTATGACGTTGATGATGTTATTTAAGTGGTGGTGGTGGTGGTGGATATGGTGATGATGAGGATGATTGTGGTGATGGAGGTGGTGATTGTGGTTATGATGGTGATACGGATAATTACAATTTCCAAGTTCATAATGATGATGTGGGCGATGTCTCATGATAACTGCTATCAATAACGATGATTATAATGATAATAACAATATAAATAATTATTGATGATGGTGATAATGATGGTGATGTGATAATGACGGTAATGATAATGATAATGATACAGTTCTTAAAGCTATGGACAATGAAAGTCCTAATTTGCCAATGCTTCTAACAGAGTATATATTGAAAGGTTGTTTGGTTGGTTGATTGGTCAGTTGGTTGGTTGGCTGGTTGGTTGGTCAGTTGGATGGTTAGTTGATTGATCGGTTGGTTGATTGGTCGGTTGGTTGATTGATCGGTAGGTTGGCTGGTTGATTGGTTAATGGCTGGTTGATCAGTTGGTCCAATGATTAGTCAGTTGATTAGTTGATTGATTGTTTGGTTAATTTATCGTTTAGTCGGCTGATTGGTTGGTCGGTTGATTTGTTCACCTTTCGTTAACATAATCTTTCATTTATTCATACAAGAATAAACTATTGGTTGATTGATCAATTGACTGATTCATTTATTATTGATTGATTGATTGGATGGTAAATACTTCGATTGGCTTATTGATCGATTGATTGGTTGATTGAACGATGTAACTTTTCATTTGTTCGTTCATTCGTTTTTTCACTGGGTTGATTAAATGGACGGTCGGTTGGTTGATTGGTTGATTGTCAGGTCTATTGGTTGGTTGATTGTCAGGTCTATAGGTTGATTGATTAGATGATTGATCGGATGATTGATTGGTCGGTCAGTGAATTGATTTGATCTCAATTAAAAATTTCGCAGTCGTTTGCCCCACAGCTTGATGTCCAAGACTTCAGACGATATCATCACTATCTGTATCATCAGCGTCATCGTTATCATGCTTGTTGTCACCATCGTCATCACCATCGTCATCATCATCATCAACCTAATTGTTATGATCCCCGACATCACCATCGTCATCATCATCATCAACATGATCATCATCAACATCTCTTGTTTCATTCATTTGTATCACAGCTTATTCATTATGAACTATTGAAATTATTGTCATGATAATCAAAATGTATATATGTATGTATTGTGCCTGTGCAGTGCATGTCTATGCGTTTGTTCGCTACTTTAGTATTTATTCAATTTCATTATGTTCAATATTATATACTTGTTCATTCATTTGTTCATGCATTTATTCGTTCGTTTATCCATTCTCTCGTTCATTCATTCATTCAATTATATAATATATAAAACATGTCCGCAATTATAAATATAAATATGTAAATATTATAATTATAATTAATAATAATTATAAATATGTAAATAAATATTGTTGCTTGTCGTTTATTTATATTTTCTATATGCATTTTTGTATGTTTGTATGTATTTATGTGTTTGTGTAATTGTGTGTATGCCTGTACGTACGTATGTATGTATGAATGGATAAAACCAAGAAGCAAAAGACTATCTGTTTCCTCCACCCGACATTTAATTTTAGTTTATGGGCCTCACTCGCACTGAAGGACATTTTCTGACATTTTCTGACATTTTCTAAAATATAGTAGGCATTAAACATAAATGATGAAATAAAAATATATTGTTTTATATAGGACTGTTAATTTGTTTCATCAGTTTTTTTTTATTATTTTGATGCTTAATTGCCCATCGGTGGAGTCGAATGTTTCTATGCAGGACGGAAGAAAAGCTTTTGTGAAGTCATTATTTAGTTCGTTATATTTACTGGTTTTTAAACCAGGTCATTTATGACAGAATGGCTGGCTTGTTTATCGGAACTCAACCTACAGGAAAGGCCGTGGTAACTTAATGGTGAAACATCGGCTCCATATAAAATTTGTGACCCGAGTCTCAGACATAACCTAAGTCTGATGTTTGAATCGTCCAAGCGGGTACAACATACCGAGTTAGACACTGTCCCAGGCAATGCTGAACCACGTTTGCTTTTATACTGTCAAAAGGTGAGCTTTGTCAAAAAGTAAATAATTCATCTGCTCCACTAAGGATAGAGTTTTTTTTAAAAAGGATTCGCTCAATGCCGATGTCAAAAAAGCCGAAAGTGCCATATCTAAGATTTTCCGATTTTATATGTAACATTGCCAGCCATTTTTATCAATCGAAAGGTTAAAGAAGTTCATTATCAAATCCATCTGAAAGCTCCCTAGAAGGCTAAACATTTTTTATAAAAAAAACAATAGACGACGTTTTCAAAAATACATAAGCCTGGACAGGGGAGTCGCTTGAATTAGCCGTCTTTGAAAATTATCGCCAAGATAAGTAACAAGATAAACCTGAATTCTTCTAATTTACCCTCTCAAAATCTATTGTGACTCCGACCTTTGAGCAAAGTTACACCCAGGAATTGCAAGTCGTTTACTCCTTTGTGGTTTATTTGATGGTAAAACGATTGCGATCTGTTGAGATTATCACACACTTCTGAAAGTTTAGACCGTAACGGAGGTCACTGTTAGGAATGTATTCCAGAATATCGAGTCCAGCGAATCCCCCGAATTAATGTACGCATTCATGCATGTATGCATGTATGTATGTATGTATGTATGTATGTATGTATATATGTATGTATATATGATTGTATGTATGTTCGTTTATGCGTGCGCGTGTATGTATGTGTATGTATATGATTCATGTGTGTATGTATTATTAACTATATGACTTGAATTAATATTTTTTTTTATAAAAAACATCATATGTCTGTCTATTGTGCATGCACAAATACATACTCAAATACAAATACATTTTCATATACACGTACACACATCCATACCTACACATCCCGCATACATACAATCACACACGTTGTTGTCATTGCGTTAAGTTTGCTTATTGAAAGACTTTGCTACCACGCAGGCACAATAATTTCGATATTTAATTATTTATTTTTAAAATTCATTAGAATCCCGAGGTAGGACGTTGAAAATTAATAATAATGGTATATAAATGATATAATAATAATGATATATAAATATATATTAGGCATGTATAAATCGAAAGATTTTGCTTATTGTTTCCAGCGATAGTAATAATAATAGTGATAATAATAATAATATTATTATTAAGATGTCACGGTGCGTTTCTAATTTCTGAACGTTAACCACGCTTCATACGGAGATTTGTGATGTATTCATTCATTCATTTGTTCATTCATTCATTTGTTATTTATTTTTTTCAGTTCTTTTATTTATTAGTTTATTTATTTAGTTATTCCTTCATTCATTCATTCATTCATTCATTCATTCATTCATTCATTCATTCATTCATTCATTTGTTAATTCATTCGTTCATGCTATCTCATTCATTCATTCATTGCATCATTCAGTTTTATGAATAATGGTGGACCAATAAATGAATGAATGAGCACATAATTTTTGCTTATTCATTTTTAAATTGTTGATTCTTCCGTTTATCTATCCATACATTCATCCTTTCATGTATGCGTTCATTCATTCATCCATTCATTATTCTATTTATACATTCATGCATGCGTTCAATCTTTCACCCATTCATTCATTCATTTTTTATTTACTTTTATGATAATTAGTTTAGTATTTTATCGCTGTGAATGATATAACTATTTAATGTATAACAATAATAATAATCTTAATAATAATTAATATAAATATAATTACACAACAACAACAACAACACACGTTTAGACGGCATTTTCCCCGAGATCGGGGGTTGCCGTTTGGCTACCTATGATGAAACCGAAATACCCCTCGACGCCATCCAAATCTGTCACTCGCCTCAGTATCACGCAACCCCGCTTTCACCCTGTCCTTCTCCACCTGCTCTCTCCATCCCAATCGCGGAGACCCCTTCCTACCACTCCTTCAACCTCGAACTCCAACGCTCGCCTAATTCCGACCTTTTCATCCCTTCTCAACACATGTCCATACCACCGCAATCTCGATCTCCTTATCAATGTCACAATGTCCTCATTCAGTCCCATCATTGACATCAGCTCTGTACTACTCCTCCTATCCTTCACTTTAACCCCACACATCATCCTCACCATAGCTCTTAAATATAATAAATATAAATAAATATAATTACACAATTCTTGCTTATTTAATTACTAATTGTTTGATTTTTTGTCAAAAGCTTTATATTGTTGAGATGGTTTGAAAAATATTTTTGTGCAATACAATTAGGAGCATATATATATATAAATAAATAGTACGTATATATATATATATATACACATATATATAATTTATATAATTTACTACATATGTAAGCCCAATGATGCCAAAATAGTAATTAATTAATGGAACGTATTAAAAGCTTTTTTTAGTAACTATTTTAGTAATACATCTTTGCTAGTATTATTATTTGGATTATTATTATAAATTGATATTATATAACAGTAATTTTATTACTGCTATCTATTAATTTATCAAGAATGTTATCACTCACGAATAAATGAACATTGAAATGGAATTAAACCCTTTACCAGATATACAATGTGTTTGTTTTTGCTATTTTCACCACACCAACTAATTCAATCGTAAACACACATATACCACACACCCACCACACACACACACACACACACACACACACACACACACACACACACACACACACACATATATATATATATATATAATTATTTATAAAGATCTCTATGTAAATAATTGTATTTATGATAGTCTAAACCCAAAATTTCTATCAAGGACATAGACTAAATGCGTCGTTATGCGTCTGATGAAAGTGACGTTAACTCTAATCTCAATAATGAATGAATCAATCAATCAATCTTTGTTTTGCGTCCAGAGACCCGGTTCCCCGAGGTAGGACGTTGTTTTGTTTGCCATCGACTTTTTGCGCCAAATTAGACGATCAGTTGTATACATTTCATTTAAATTTAGAGCTTTCATGTCTTTCTCGTTTGTTTGCAAACAGAACTTCTTTCGACGGCCTTTGGGACGTGTGCCAGGTACTTCAACATCTGCAAGAGAAGTTATGGCACTGTTTCCACTTCGTTTGACATGACCAAACCACCGCAGACGGTGTTGCCGGCATTCGTCCTTTGTATCATCTAAACCAGCATATATATATATATATTTCGGGTTTAGACTATCATAAATACAATTAT